GAAAGAGTGAATGGATTGATGCTCTATTATGCAACCTCAACCATAGCGTCGGATGGAGATTTGCTCTCTGCTCAATGGAGAATAAGGTGAGTTGCTTAAATTAGTAACTATTCGACGTTTACACTGTATTTTTTCCGACTACCCGATTTACAGATGTATTATTATATATCGGTTTCTATTCTCATCCCTATTTCTCCTCTCTTGCGACATTCAGGTTCGAGATCATGCGAGGAAACTTTTGGAAAAGCATGTGCAGAAGCCATTCTTCGACGCTAGGTAAGATTCTTTGGTGTTATGTGATTGATGATTTGGTCGGTTCATCGGTATTTTACATTTCTACCTTTCTTGAAATGATGGGCATGAGTTATATCAGATTTACGTGCCGCCCTTTTTATAGTTACGGAGGACCTGCCCCACGAATGAGCGTTGAGGATTTAGAGCAAGGGAAAAAAAAGCAGAACTAAATAGCCTGAGATATGAAAGAGTGGTTGAGTGACACCTTTTATCTCATAAGGTAAATTCCTAGTTTTCATTCTCGAGCTTATCGATACCAAGGATCAACTCATAGACATGATTTCGATTTGGCAAACCGAGAACTTTGAATCATAATTTACCGTGGAGAAACGTCTTTTTTAGATACCCGACATGAACTAGACAAACATCCTTTTCCATCTTGTCATTTTTTCGTGGCTGAAACAGGTGTGAGAATGATTCACTTCCGAATATCAGTTGGGTTCTCGATCTTGCAAAATATGCTGTCCTAAGGCACGGGATACGGGGGCTTGTGATAGATCCTTACAACGAGCTCGATCATCAACGTTCTCCGAGCCAGTGAGAGTGACAAAAACCAGTTTTTAACTCGATATAGCTTTTTTCCTTTCCAATACACTAAGGCCCCTTTTTCTTTTCTTTTTTCGATTTCTGCAGGACCGAGACTGAATATGTAAGCCAGATGCTTACGAAGATCAAACGTTTCGCCCAACATCATTCTTGTCATGTCTGGTTTGTTGCTCATCCACGACAGTTGCAGAACTGGAATGGTGGTGCACCGAATCTTTACGATATAAGCGGAAGCGCACATTTCATTAACAAATGTGACAACGGGATTGTTATTCACAGAAACCGCGATGAAGATGCAGGACCTCTCGATTTGGTCCAAGTGGGTATCTCAAATCTGTCAACTTTCGGCGTTTTACGTCGAAATTTCTTGTTTTTTTGCGCCTCCCGAGAATGATTCTGATCTGCCCGGGTTCTAACTTTTTACGTTTCAGATTTGCGTGAGGAAAGTACGGAATAAAGTTGCGGGACAGATCGGCGATGCATTCTTGTCTTACGACAGGTTTGTCCCTTTTCCCGAAGCAGTTTTACGATGGATCTGTTGATAGTAAACCCGACCTTATCGTTCAAGAAACTGAATCAGGAGTGTATAGACTATGTTAACTTGGATTCGGGCTCTTATAACCGATCTGAAACTGTTTTTTTAGTTCGGTTTCGGGAAAGATGAACCTATGAACTCATCCATGGCCTAAACCCTGACTGAACGAAGCAAACAGAGAAAACTTGATCTATCTTGTCGAAATTCGGTACAGATTACAGAACATGGCAAAAGTAGATTTAGATGGTTCAGTTTCGATTCCGGATATCGTTCTCTGAGATGAATGAATGTTTTGACAGGGCGACGGGTTTGTTCTCCGACCTCGAGAAGAGGTAGACGACTGAAGGAAAAAAAAAAAGACTGAAGTCCAAAATCCGGTCGGGTGAGTTTATCAAGAAGGGATGTACAATATATGTGTATGAATCGGGGGAGCGAGGTTTTGTTTCTCGGGAAAGAAAAAACCCCGAAAACGGGGAGGCCTCGACCGTCGCTTAGGAGAATCTGGTTGGAGAAAGTTAGTTATGGCAGTTGATATGAGAAGATATGGTGGTGTGAACTTCTTAGGTTTGATGTTCATTGTTCAGACAGAAGACTGGCTTCAGTTTAAAGAACAAAGGTTCCCATGTATTGTTTATACTCTTCTTTGTTATTTTCCTTTCAAGGTTGTCATTTTAAATTCAAAAGGATATTTAGTCATGCCTTCTTGTGTGTATATATATATATATATATTAGGGGTTGGCAAACCTTTCGGTTATTTCAAAATTGAATCGAACCGATTGAAATTATATAACCATTTAAATTTAATTATGAATTTTTTAAATCTAAAATAACCATAAATGAATAAGTCCAATTCGCGTTAATCGTAATTGAATATAAACTTTTGATTATTTATGTACCATCGGATATGTGCTAATGTAATTTGAAAAATGATCATAACCAGATTGTTTATATAATTTTATAACTATACTATATAGTTAAAGTGTGGTTTTTAATATTTTTCTTCAAAACAATATTTCAAAATTTGTTTTCATTATTTATTATAATCGAATCTCACTAAATTTTTATTTGATTACAATTTTAATTAAACATAATCAAATCGACCGAATTGATTTAAACCAAATAACTATTTTGTTATGAATTTTTAAAATTGATTTAAACCAAATAACTATTTTGTTATTATGAATTTTTAAAATCCGGGTTTAACCAAATTTGAATCAACTGTAGTCGGAAAAAAAAAATTGAGACGAATTCGTCCAACCCTAATATACACTATGATCATAATCAATTATATATTATGATTACCCAATTTGGTTAGTTTAACCGTTAAAACGATAATATAAAACGAATATTTTATTCCGAGTTTGAATTTCAAATTAGAGAATGATAATATAATTCCAATCATCCGGTTTATTCTTGGTCCCAAGATTAGTTTGGACTTCATACACAAACCGATTACGGGAAAAAAATATATATTATGGTATTGAAAAAAAAAGCAGAACTAAATAGCCTGAGATATGAAGTATGCATGACGTCATAAATACGCGAAGCTGTCTCCGTTTGACGTAAATAAATATATGACAAAGACGCATTCATTTTTATTATATTATAATATAAAGAGAAACATAAAATACGAATCACTGGAACGATAACTAATTCAAACTTGCACGAAACTGTAATATGATCATGAATTTTTTTAGGTTATGCCGAAAAAATTGAATTTAAATTTTTTTAAGAGGTTATATTATAAATTTTTTCTTCCATACAATATTATGAATTAGGTAAACGAATGATGTTCAATTTTTTTTTCTAATGGTTATCCTTAATGTATCTTTCAATTTTGAAACGGCTGTCCAAGAAACATAGCAATGTTTCAAAATTCAATATTATTTGTTCACCTAATTTATTTATTTTTTCCAATTTCATTTTCAAAAATAATATAGAAAAGTATACATTTTAGATGATAAGAATTGGTCGGATTCGGCATAATTTTAAAGACAGTGTAATCATATTTAGGTGCTCATTTTGGTTATTAACCGAATAATCTAATCGAACCGAATCGAATGAGACATAACCATGATCGAACCGGATTTGATATAAAAGTGAACGGTTATGATTTCTCTAAATAAAAAAAAATGAATTTAATCGAGTCAGAATAAAATCGAATCGAAGAGAATCCAAATTGATATAAAAACCGAATAATTATAGTTTTTCTATAATCAAAATAATCGAATCTAAATATAACCGAACCGAATCCGAAATGGGAAAAGTCAAAGTGGCTCATTTGTAAGAGAGATTATTGCACTCCTCTTCTCATAGTTAATAACCGAATTCGAAACTATTACTTGAAATTACCAATATTATTTTAATTATCTTTTTCATACGTTCGGTACACGAAAATTATAATCCAAGTGTCCAAAATTATGATGTTCATGATTATCTATTTTATTTTTTAAAATATATATGTACAACGCATTAGGAGTGAACATTTTCTCTTGGGACCGGAACTCGATATAGATTAAAATATAAATTTTTTATAATAAATATGTTGGATATTTTAAAATAAACGGTTGATTGGTTTTAATCTTTCATGATATTCATGTATACGTGTATTATAGGTAAGTACAGGAGTAAAATGTTTATAAAAGACGCATCTATAAATTGGTTAATTGTTAAAGATTCATCGGAAAAGGTTGCGTTCAGTTTAGAACATAAAAAATGAATATGAGTTAGAAGATTGCTGGATCGATTGTATGCTCGGAAAAATATCCCGAAATATTCAGAGAGAACGATCTCTCGATCGTCTATAGAAGATCGATCATGTTCTTGGAACAATCGGAACTCGATATTGATTAAAAATATTTTAAATTGAGTGGAAAATCGAAATATATTTACAAATTCAATGGACGGATGGTAAATTATTTAATTTACTGCCTTTTTAATCTTTTTCATCTTACTTTGGTGGTTACATTTTTAAAGAGTTTAATTAAATTCATATGGATATATTTTCTGAACCCATACATAATAAATTTTTATACTCTCTCTCTCTCTCTCTCTAAATTATGGTCCAAAACATATACCATAAATATGGGTCGACTAATTTTAATAAGAAATTTCAATATTTTGGTGGATATTTATTTATACTCTAATTAAAAAGATAAAAAAAAATGCTCCCAAAAATTAGCTCCGGGATTAATTTCTGTTTATTTTTTTTTTTGTTTTCAGATATTTTTGCCTAATTAGCTTTGATTTCTTAGAGAATGAAATAATTATTCAATTTTTGGTGATTAATCGTGTGACGTGGACAAAAATCATAGGAAATAATTGTGATCCTCTTAATTAAATTGCTAATCAATCCTCATGTACGGTCAATCATGTGAAAGTCAAATAAGCCGCTCAAAGTATATCTTGTCATTTTTTTTTTTATAGTCGACCATTTTTTTTTGGTCAATCTAATAATTTTCTATAATTGCTTATAATATGAAACGCCACGTCAGCATATCCAACACAAAACTTGTTACACGTCGGCTCGAATAACATTTTAGAAGCGAATATCTAGATCTGAGTTTTGCATGTTACGCATTCTAAATCTTTGCCCCAATCATTTAATGATACATATATACATATATATATATATATATATATATTAATTAAATTCAATATCATATGCTCTAAATTATAATTAATATAAATTCTAGAACGTAATGAAAACATCAATATTAATCAAATACCGTGCCACCTCGGATTTCATTTGCATTTGAATTTTCGTGGTCAACCATTTCGGTATCAACGTCATGCATGATCTTCTCTCAAATTATTCATTGTCACAAAATTGTTTATAAATACCCTAACCCCTCCCCAAATTCATACACCAAAAAATTTTATAATCACAAAACCAAAAAAAAAAATCATGTTTTCGAAAACTACATTTCTACTTTTAATAACCCTTTTCATATCCACGTCAGCAAACTCCGAAACTTTCATGCAATGCCTAACCGCGCACTCCTCCGCCTCTCACCCGATTTCCTCCGCCGTATATTTCCCCGGAAACGGCTCTTACTCCGCCGTTCTCGAGGCTTATATCCGTAACCTCCGATTCAACACGTCCTCCACCCCGAAACCCTTTCTCATAATCGCCGCCGGCCACGAATCCCACGTCCGAGCCGCCGTTTTCTGCGGCCGTCGCCACAATCTCCAGATGAAGATCAGGAGCGGAGGCCACGACTACGACGGTTTATCGTACGTGACCTATTCCCGCGTCCCGTTTTTCGTGCTCGACATGTTCAATCTACGGTCGGTCGACGTGGACGTGGAGAAGAGAACGGCTTGGGTTCAGACCGGGGCGACTCTTGGAGAAGTTTATTACAACATATGGGACAAGAGCAAGACTTTAGGGTTTCCGGCGGGAGTTTGTCCGACAGTTGGCGTCGGCGGTCACATTAGCGGCGCAGGGTACGGCAACATGATGAGGAAGTACGGTCTTACCGTCGATAACGTCGTTGACGCCAGAATGGTCGACGTAAACGGTAACATATGCATATACGTACATACATACATATATATATATATATATATATATAAATACATATGTCTAACCCTAATTTCTCCATAGTCAATACTAATAATTAAATTTATGTTACATATGGGTTGAATCATCATCATATATATAATATTTTAAGACATCATCTCTAGTCAAAATAGCATATAATTACAGTTTGTTCGGTTAGAAGATGGATCGGACCGTCGCTGACTTAAAATGGTAAATGGTAACATGCATATATGTCTAACCCTAATTTCTCTATATATAGTTTATACTAATTAATAATTAAATTTGTGTTATATATGGTTCAAATCATCATATATACATACATACTATTTGAAACTATATAGTTTATACTAATAGTTAAATTTATTTTGCATATGGGTTGAACTTTGAATCATCTTATATACACACACACACACACACACACACACACACACACATATATATATATATATATATATATATATATTATTTTAAGAAATCATCTTGTCAAAATTACATATGATTACAGTTTGATCAGTTAGAAGATGGATCAGACCGTGGCTGACTTTACAGAAACTTAACAAAGTTCAAGTCCTAATTATTATATGTCTCCTTTCTCATGGTCGAGGAATTTATAAATTTAAAAAAAAAATCATTATTTTGGGGTCAAAACCATTCAAATATAAAATAATAACATTGGAAACCATCAAAAGAAATGCATAGATCGTACTTAAAGATTGTGTAGAATATGCTTATATATATAATACATATATATACACATATTAATTATATATACTATTTACGTGTACATTTATTGACTTTTTTTTTAATTAAAAAACAATTGTAGGTAGAATTTTGGATAGAAAATCAATGGGGGAGGATCTATTTTGGGCAATCAGTGGAGGAGGAGGATCGAGCTTTGGCGTCGTGCTATCCTACAAAATAAACCTCGTCGAAGTCCCTCAAAACGTCACCGTTTTCAGAATCTCCCGAACGCTAGAACAGAACGCAACCGCAATCGTGGATCGCTGGCAGCAGGTCGCGCCTCATCTCCCCGACGAGCTCTTCATCAGACTAACGTTTGACATCGTCAACAGCACCGTTACGGCGGGACAAAAGACCGTTAGGGCAACGTTCTTGTCTCTGTTCCTCGGAGATTCCGAAACCCTAATCTCGATCATGAACCGAAGATTCCCTGAGCTGGGTTTGGTCCGATCCGATTGTATCGAAACGAGTTGGATTCAATCGGTTCTTTTCTGGACCAATATCCGAGTTGGAACGCCGGAGGAAGTATTGCTACAACGGAATCAAACTCTTACGTACTTGAAGAGAAAATCGGATTACGTAACTAAACCGATTCCAAGAACCGGTTTAGAATCTTTGTGGAGGAAGATGATCGAGCTCGAGATTCCGATGATGACGTTTAATCCGTACGGAGGTAGAATGGCTGAGATTCCTTCCTCGGCCACGCCATTCCCTCATAGGGCCGGGAATCTGTGGAAGATACAATACGCCGCGAACTGGAACGACGAGAGATTAACCGACAGGAACATGGAATTGACGAGAAGGTTGTACGATTTCATGACTCCGTTCGTGTCGAAAAACCCGAGGCGGGCATTTTATAACTATAGGGATGTGGATTTGGGGGTTAATTTGCACAAAGGAAAGGTTGAGAGCTATGTGGAAGGTCAAAGGTACGGAATTAAATACTTTGCGGCAAATTTCGATAGACTGGTGAAGATTAAGACCAAAGTGGATAGAGATAATTTCTTCAGGAACGAACAAAGCATTCCTGTGTTCCCATAGTATGGGAACTAGTAGTTGAACTATACATATTTATGTGTGTGTACTTTAATAATGCAAAATTACGAACCCTAAGTTTTATGTTGTTATTCTTTGTATTTTCTGTATTTGTAATTTGATTGAAGTTTATATAATGGTTTGAATATTATTTCATGACGAAAATCTTCATTAACAAACTGAACAACAGCTGAAATATGATTTAAGATTTGTTTTCTATATTTTATAATGAATGTGGTGAATTTATTATTGAATTAGGGGTTTTTTTAATTGTCTTGTGATGTCTTGCGATGAAGCTCAATATATATATATATATATAATAGAAATTCCATGAAAATACATCGATAAAATTTAGGCAATGTGTAAAAAACATATATATTAAGTTTTATATAAAATATAATTTTAAAATATATAAACTTTCGATTTAACAAATAAATACACATATTATGCTAAAATTCCATGAAAATACCAATTTATAAAATTTTTCAAATTACCATGATGCTGTTAATGGATTCCGACGATGAAACCCTAGCGTGGTACCGTTCTGTAGCCAAGTCAACGCCACATCACCATTTTACCATGTCAACAATTATATATATATATATATATAATCCTAAAAGAATACAAATTAAGACACCTACATATTTATGTATATACCTATGTTTGATAATTAATTACGCATATAAGACTATGATCTATAGCTTTTATTTTTTGCAATATGTGGAGGTTTCGTATTTTATATATATGCTGATCACGATTAAACTGGTTAATTAAGAGAATCGTATATAATATATAATTATAAGGAGAAATCCCATGAAAATAGAATCATATTATAATAATTGATATAATAGATAATTATAAGGGAAATTCTCATGAAAAATAGAATCATATTACAATTATATATATATATATATATATACTTAAATAAGAGAAAATTCCACGAAAATATAGTCTATATACTTAATCGTGATCATCATATAAAGCATGAAATATCCCCTTGTTGCAAAAAAACAAAAGCTATAGATTATAGTCTAATATACATAATTAATTACCAAACACACACATATATATATATATATATATATAGATAGATAAATATGTATGTGTCTATCCATTCCCTTATATATATATACACATAAAAAAAACATAAACCCACAAGCAAAAAATAAAAAATAAAAACCAAATCAAATCAAATCAAATCTCCAAAAAAATGAAAACCCTAATTTTCATAATCCTCCTCCAAACGATTTTGATTGTTCCAAAAGTATACGCAGAATCATCCTTACCAGACCAAACATTCGGGAACTGCCTCAATGATTACCATTACAGATTCGGAGATCCAAACATTCCGGTCGCCGATCTCACTTACGGACCGAAACACCCTTTGTTCCTCACTGTCCTGAAAAACTATGTCCGAAATCTACGTTGTTACAACGACAGCACACGTAAACCGACCATGATCGTGACCGCGGCCGAGGTCTCTCACGTCCAGGGCGCGATCTTATGCGCCAAGGCTCGAGGCCTTGAGCTGAGGATCCGAAGCGGAGGCCACGATTACGACGGTCTATCCTACAATTCCGACAAAGATTTCGTCCTTCTCGATATGTTTAATCTCCGTTCCATCGAGTTCGACCCGAATCTCGACACGGCTTGGGTCGGGGCAGGAGCTACATTGGGAGAGCTCTATTACGCCATTGCCAATAAGAGCAAAATTAAGGCGTTTCCCGCAGGGATTTGTCCTGGATTAGGAACCGGAGGACATTTTAGCGGCGGAGGGTATGGTGCTATGATGAGGAAATACGGTTTGTCGGTGGATAACATCGTAGATGCTAAAATCGTCGACGTTAACGGTAAAGTTCTTGATCGGAGTTCGATGGGAGAAGATCTTTTCTGGGCATTACGTGGCGGAGGGGCAGCCAGTTTCGGTGTGGTCTTGGCGTGGAAGATAAAGCTTGTCCCCGTCCCGGAGAAAGTTACCGTCTTTGAGGTATCGAAAACAGTGGAAAACGGAGCTACGGATGTAATCCTCAAATGGCAAGAAGTTTCGGACAAGATCGACGACGATTTGTTCATAAAATTGGCGTTGAGTATAACGAACGCAACCAAATCGGGTAAGACTGTGAAGGGTACGTTCACGGGAATGTTCTTGGGACATCCGAGAAGCTTCTAGAAGTTATGAACTCGGGTTTCCCGGAACTGGGTCTGAACAAAACCGATTGTACCGAAATGAAATGGATCGAATCGGTTCTGTTCATGTTCGGTATCCCAAAGGGCACACCGACTTCTGTCTTGCTCGAACGGATCCCTAAACAGCCGAGATATTTCAAGAGGAAATCCGATTACGTTCAAGAACCGATCCCTAAAACCGGTCTTGAATCCATATTCAAGATCATGGCTCAGCTGAACGAGAAGGTCTCGATGGCTTGGAGCCCGTATGGCGGGAGAATGAGCGAGATATCCGACAAGGAGACACCGTTTCCTCACCGTGCGGGGAACAAGTTCTTGATTCATTACTCCACGAACTGGTTGGAACCGGACAATGAAATGGCGAATGATTACTTGAACCAGACGGAAAGACTGTACGAGGCGATGAGTCCGTACGTGTCGAAGAACCCTAGAGAGGCGTTCTTGAACTACAGAGACATCGATATCGGTACGAATGTGAATTCGACGTACGATGAAGGGAAAGTGTACGGAACGAAGTACTTCAAGAACAATTTCGAGAGGTTGGTTTCGGTCAAGACGAGGGTCGATCCCGACAACTACTTCCGGTACGAGCAGAGCATTCCGGTTCGGTCCGGTTAGTGAAAAAATAGTTACGTTGAGGCAAATGACGGCTTTAATGAATTTAAAAATGTTTTTGTTTGTAGTTATTCGTAATAATAACAATAGTTATCATATTAAAATGAATATCATTTTCATAGTAAATCTAATAAAAATATTTATAAATTTAGGGTATCAATTATATAAACTCAACAATTAATTTAATCTAAAGATGTGCATTATATATGTATATATATATAATATGCCTAAGATATATAATTCGTATAATAATATAACACCGTGTACCAATTTAACACAGTCACATGCCTAAGAGATATACACGATTGACCAAAGATATTCAACGTTTGAACTGATAATTAAAGGTGGCAGATCCAATGAGCAAAGTCTTGCGCGTTATAAAGTTTGAAAATTATTATTTGTACGGATAGTCTAAATCGAATCATAAGATTATACGCGTTGGTTATTATAATATCAACAATAATAAAAATATTTAATATTTAGATCTGATATCACTATCTCTCGAAATGCTTTTCAGACAACTGTTTTCGATCATTGATCAGCATGTGAAAGTCAAAGTCAAAGTCAAAGCTAATAACTTAATCAACCAAGAGTTTATTTCTCGTGACCGAATTTAAATTGGCAATTATTCAATAAAAAAAGAAAGAAAGATACAACTGTAATAATTGATCTTTTAAACAATTATTTTTGTTTCTAAATAGATGTAATTCCATCTTTTTTATATAATTTTTTAAAATAATTTCCAATTTTATTTTTAATTAAAACTGTTACAACTCTAATAAATTTTTAATAACAATATAGTTTTTATCATTAAACCTATATTAAATAAGAATGTATAAAATTTTTTATATTTTTTTTAAAAAATTTAAAAAGTGAAAAACTTTAAAACGACGATTATTTAGGAACGCAGTGAGTATTGCGAGTTGTTGTGAGTTAAGATAATTTGTTTATATGGATTTTTTTTATAATTTGATGTAAATTTAAAAATTATTTATGTTGTTATTAAAGATAAGATATCGCCACTCACATACATCAATTACGTACATATAATCACTAATAAATTTATTATTCTAATATCCAAACCTCCTTCACAAAAAAAAAAAATCAAAATATTATGTTCACTAAGATAAATAAGCAAATGTTTGACATTGAAAAGTCAATCATCTACTCACTGGCAATCATAACATAGACTGGAAAAATACTAATCCGTACAACTTGAAAAAATTTAAAATTGAACTCCATATCTCATATATATGTATATATATATATATATACATATATACAAAGATATACATACAAACACTGAACCCAATAAAAATCGAGGGAAAAAATGGAAAAAATCTCAACTTTACAAAAAATTCTCGCATTTTCTCTACTATCATTCTTTACCGCATCATATGTAACCTCACAGATAACGCCGCCCGATTTTCTCCGATGTTTGGACCGACAGCCAAGCGATCCGACAAGCCCTAACTCCGCCGCCGCGTACATACCCTCGAACGCCTCCTTCTCCGCCGTCCTCCGCCGCCGTATCCCCAACCTCCGATTCGACAAACCCACCACTCCAAAACCCATCGCCGTCGTGGCTGCCGCCACGTGGACCCACCTCCCGGCCGCCCTGGGATGTTCCCGAGAGCTCGGAATCCAGGTCAGAATCCGCAGCGGAGGCCACGACTTCGAGGGCCTGTCTTATATTTCCAATGTTCCATTCTACGTCCTCGACATGTTCAATTTTAGATCCGTCGACGTGAACCTGACCGAGGCCTCGGCTTGGGTCGATTCAGGCGTGACGATCGGAGAATTGTGTTATCGGATCGCGGAAAAAACCAAAGTGTACGGTTTTCCGGCGGGTTTATACCCTACGTTGGGAGTGGGAGGGCATTTTAGCGGCGGAGGGTACGGAAACTTGATGAGGAAGTACGGACTGTCCGTTGACAACGTTGTCGGGTCCGGGATCGTCGACTCGAACGGAAATATCTACACGGACCGAGTCTCGATGGGCGAAAACGTGTTCTGGGCGATTCGCGGCGGCGGAGGAGCGAGCTTCGGCATCGTGCTCGGATACAGAATCCGGCTCGTTCCGGTGCCGGAGAAAGTTACGGTCTTTAACGTCAGCAGAACCGTGGAAGATGGCGCGTCGGATTTGGTCTGGAAGTGGCAAGAGTTTGCCTACAAGACGGACAGGAACTTGTTCGTGAGGTTGACTTTGACTCCGGTCAACGGTAAAAGGGCAGGTGAAAAGACGGTTTTAGCCTCGTTCGTGGGGATGTACTTGGGCCGGTCGGATGGGGTTGTGAGCATTCTGAACCGGGGTTTACCGGAATTGAGACTGAAGAAAACCGATTGTACCGAGATGTCATGGATTGAATCGGTTGTGTTCTGGGCCGGTTATCCCATCGGTACACCTACCTCGGTTTTGCTTAACCGGGAACCCCCGAAACTCTTCATGAAACGGAAATCGGATTACGTCAAGAATCCGATTTCGAAACCCGGTATAGACGCGATACTCAAGAAGCTTACCGAGATCGAGAAAGTGAAGATGGTTTGGAATCCGTACGGAGGGAGAATGAGCGAAATCCCGGAAACAAGAACGCCGTTCCCGCACAGATCCGGCAACGTTTTCAACGTCGAATACGTTGTGGACTGGTCGGAATCCGGCGACGACGCGGAGAAAGATCACGTGGAACGCGCGAGAAAGATGCATGAGTTCATGACGCCGTACGTTTCCACGAACCCTAGGGAGGCGTTCTTGAATTACCGCGATCTCGACGTCGGATCGAATGTTAATTTCACGTACGAGGAAGGTAAAGTTTTCGGGGTTAAATATTTCAAGAACAACTTCGAGAGATTGGTCGATGTGAAATCTAGATTCGATCCCGACAATTTTTACCGCAACGAACAGAGTATTCCTGTTCGAAAATGACAAAAAAAAAAAACAACCGATAGTCATGCATGTGATGTAATGTTGTGTTGCTAAAAAAAATAAATATGTTTATGTTTCCATGACGAAGGTGGTCATTTCAGTTTTTAGATTCGAATTCGGTTTGGTTATATTCGATTTGGGTTATAAAAAAACTATAACCATTCGATTTTTATTGGTAAAAAAATTCATTTTTTTCAAAAGAAATTGTTGATTTTTTTCGGTTATTTCTTTTACACAAATTGAACAAATTTGGGTATTTCTTTGATAATTTGTAAATCGGGATATTTATTTGATATATTTAGACAAATCGAAGTATTTTTATGGAATTTTCGAGTAATAATATTACTACTAAACCCATGGATTTTGGAGTAATCACGTGATTAGGTGTTTATACAATAGTTTGACCTAATAATACACATGTAAAATTACATATTTACCCTTCTATAAGACTCTAACTAATAAGATAGATACCCATGAATGGGAAAGAAGCGTTTTCAACGATATAAATTTTTGGAGTAGCTTTTGTAACTAACAGATATTTGTAGGTCCAATTTGATGCATTTTATGCATATATATATATATATATATATATATATATATATATAGAACTTTAATAAAATGATGGTCCATTTTGAATTATTGGAATGGAGACAACGTGGGTCATGTTCAAAAAGACTTTACAGGTCATGCCAAATGCGTCACGTCCTTGTCTCTTCACGTGGCCTTATTATAGATTTTATGACAGTTGTGTAATAAACTTCAAATAACTACTTTTTTAAAAAATAAAAGAAAGGAGACTAATGAATTATTTATGCCTTTTAATTAGAATCCGAATCAAAGATGAACATGATATCTGAAAATTTGAGAGTGTTTTGATTTTAAATTCCCAAAAAATCGATTTCGAATTCGTTATCTCAAATATTTGGTATTTATGGATAGAAACACTATAATAATGTTTTCGTACTTTTTATATTATTTGAAATAATTGCACCATAGGCATATATGAAATATATATATGGACCCTAGATTCTTGGATTATAATCATTTCTACCTAGAGATTGCATGGATAGAAAAGATTGATAAATATACCATATTATCCATATTCGGTTGGGATTCAGTTTAAAAATCATTCGATTCGATTCGAATCTTTCGGTTCTATAAAAAATATGTATTATTTTTTATATTCACTTTCGATTCGCTTCGATTTCGGATTTTGTTAATAAAATATTAGATTTTAAAACAAATTGATTTTTTGGGTTTTTTAATATTCAATTCGTTCGTTTCGATTCCAAAAAAATCGGTTTTAAAAAAAATATCGATTCATTTCACGAATTTCACGAATAGTACCATATTTTTTTGGTACGGTTTGGTTCCGAAAAACCATATCAAAACGGTCATCCCTAATATTTATGATAGTTGTATATATCTATATATATACCAAATTCCCTCTATTATTCATTCGGATGTTTTTGCAATAATGTAATAAAAAAAATTATATTCAATGATTCAAGGGTTGTGGTCAGTTGATAGAAATTACCGTACAACGCAAGAAATAAAATAACATAAAAATCCGATTAAAATTCGAATATGTTATTCCAATGTTTTATTCCTTAAATTATTGATTTTAATTAACAATCTCCGAACGTGCATGATCATGCGATGGCCATAGCTAAGAGAGAACCGGAATCCCCTGTTGAGACCGGAAAAAATTTTCCGGGTCGAACCGGGTTTTCACCTTAACCAATCTCTCGAAATTCCCTTTGAAATACTTAACCCCATAAACCTTAGCCGCTCCGTACGTCGAATTCGAATTCGCGCCCGTCATCGTCGTCCCGATATCGACGTCTCTGTAATTGAAGAACGCCTCTCTCGGATTCTTCGAAACGTACGGAGCCATCTCCTCCCGGAACCTCCTCGATATACCGATGAATTTCTCGGCTAACCCTTCGCCCGGTTCGTACCAATTCATGAAATGCTCGATCATGAAAATTTCACCGCTTCTATGAACGAACGGGGTTGAATCCGACGGTATCTCGCTCATTTTACCTCCGTAGGGATTCCATTGCATCCAGACCCGCCGCGGAAATGGCGAAAGATCGATCATTTTCTTGAAAATGTTCACTAAACCGGGTTTTGAAATCGGCCGGTTTACGAAATCAGACGTCCGCTTCCAATAGTATTCGTTCGTGGAAACCCGTTTCAGGAGAATCGATGAAGGTGCGGCTAACGGATAATTCGCCCAGAAGAGCGCCGACCGAACCCATTTCATGACCATACAGTCCGATTTCTTCAGACCCAATTCGGGAAAGCTCCGGTTCGTGATGCTCATGAGCCTATCGGGCAAACCCAGGAACATACCAATGAACGAGACCTTGATGGTTTTCCCACCGGTTCGATTCCGGTTAACCGGTTTAATCTCTAACCGGATGAACAAATCTCTGTCGATTCTCGGAGCGATGAACTGCCATTTCCAAACCAGGTCAACGGCTCCGTTTCCGACCGTCTTCTCGAGCTTAAAGACTGTAACTTTCTCCGGGACAGGAACAAGCATTATCTTCCATGCCAGAATGACGCCATAGCTTCCACCTCCGCCGCCTCGAATCGCCCAGAAAACGTCTTCGCCCATCGATCTCCGATCATATATCTTCCCGTTCGCGTCCATGATCTTGGCGTCGACGATATGATCCACCGATAAACCGTATTTCCTCATCATGTTCCCGAATCCTCCGCCGCTGAAATGTCCTCCGGCCCCGACTTTCGGACAAACTCCTGCCGGAAAGCCGCGGACTTCGCTCTTGTCGGCGATGTTGTAGTAAAGCTCACCAAGCGTAGCTCCTGCTTGGATCCATGCACTATCCGTCTCCATATCGATGTCTATTCGCCTGAAGTTGTACATGTCGAGGACGACGAAGGGGACGGGCGACACGTACGAGAAGCCCTCGTAGTCATGGCCGCCGCTTCGGATCCTGAGCTCGAGGTCCATGGCCTTGCAGCAAGCGATCACGGCTCTGATCTGGGTCTCGGACTCGGCCGCGACGATAGCTTCGGGCTTTCGGGTGGTCGGTGAGGCGAACCGGAGGTTTCGGACGTAGTTGAGGAGCATTGTCGGAAACGTGGAGTTCGTCGGGACGACTGCGGCGGCGGAGTTTGGTCGGCCGGCATCCGACGGTTGTTTGTCGAGACACCGGAGGAAGTTTTCCGGCGATGGAGGTTGTGAGTTGGCTTGTGGAATGGAAATGCAGAAGAAGCAGAACAGAGAGGATACGATAATGGTGATGCTAAATCTTGGTCGTGACCACTTCTCCATTTTTTTTTTGTGTGGTGTGATAGTTCGAATAAGTAATTGGATCGTGAAGTGGGACTATATATAGATGGAGAAGGGTGGACATTTCGGTTTTATATTCGGTTTAGTTCGGTTTGTTTCGGTTTTAGAAAATTTATATCTATTTGGGTTTATCAGTATGGTTCTTACTAAATTTGTATCGATAAAAATGTTTATTTTCTAAAACCAATTACGATTTTTTCTTGTTATTTCTATATTCGGTTCGGATTGGAAGGTTATAAATAAACCGAAACTAAATCATACAAATTTGAGTTCGGTTTATTTGTATTTAGATAACCGGATGTCCCTAAGCTTTGTAATAAAAATCTATAAAAGTGACACGTGTTGTCATTACATAGGAGGATAAATGAAATGTATTAAAATTTTGCGGTCTCTCTCGAATCCACGTGTATTGTTGCCTTTAAGGCTTTAATAACCACGAGATTTTGGATCGTCGTATTAAATTAAAATACAACTTTGTTTACGTGGCGCAATCGCATTTAACTTCTTCAATTTGGTCTCGAATTGGAGTGAGCGTTGTATTAAATTAATATACAACTCTGTATTTGTGGACTCTAATTTTTATTTGAATTTATTTTAACGCTCATAGTTTAAGATGGAAAAAAAATGTTATGTTTCAGAACCTATGGATATTTATATATATTTTTATTTTTCTATAATTCTGAATTTTAAATATTAACACTTCTTGGAAATTTTTAAATTTTTTCTGTATAAAGTTTGATTTTAAATTTCCTATTATATGTTATGTTTTTTTCGTTTTTTATAATCTATTTTTTGTCCTTTCTTGTTTTTTCATGTTTTGGATTTTTATATAAATTTTCTTTGTATTTATTTTTTGTTCTTATTTATCTATTGTTGCCTTTGATATATTCCCCTTTGTGAATCTTTGACCACACATATAATGTTAAAGATGAACTTTGGAAAACAAAAATATAATAGGGAAAAAACCTTAAAAATTTCTTAACTTGTATTTTGAACTAATATTAATTCCTAAACTTGTACTATTAATTTCCAAACTTGCAAAATTGAACACGTTAAATCCTGAACTTGTTAAACGGTTCCATATTCGTCCATAACGTTATTTGGTCAAAAAAATGAGTTGACCGATCCGACGTGGCGCATGACGTGGCGAGCCACGTCGGATCGGTCAACTCGTTTTTTGATCAAACAACGCTATGGACGAATATGTAACCGTTTAACAAGTTCAGGATTTAACGTGTTCAATTTTGCAAGTTTGAGAATTAATAGGCATCTCTACAAGTTTAAGAATTAATATTACTCTAAAATACAAGTTCAGAAATTTTTAGATTTTTTTCCCAAAATAATATGATGGTGAAGACGAAAATAATAAAAAGGAAAACGAAGATAAAAGATAATGGATTAAAAAAAAACATTATTGTGGGAGACGAGATAGATTCAACCATCGTGATTGGATATCGTATCAAGGATCTTGGATTTTTTTTTAAAAAAAAATCTTTAATTTTTTTCCAGAGGTATAAAACAGGTCGGTAATTTTTTTCCAGAGGTATAAAACAGGTCGGCGCCACTCAACCTAGCTGACTCGTTCCGATATGAAAAAAATTAGACCAACCCATCTCGGTCCGTTTTTTAGCGAGTCATAAATATATTAGCCTAACACATATCGTTTTATCCCGCGAGCCAAACGAGCCCGTTCGCGAACCAAATATATAATTTTTAAAAATAAAATTTTAATACTAAAAATATTTAAAACTAATTTTTATATTAAAAAATATTTAAAATATAATAAAAAAATAAAATTTTTAAAAAAACTAAATATGTAATAAAAATATAATTTTATATATAATAATATTTTAAAATATATAAAAATATTAAAATAAAAATAAAAAAATTTGTCCCGCGAGCCAGCCCGACTCGTGACTCGTTTGGCCCGGTTTTTTTTGGGCTCGAATATTTTGAACCCAACTCGAAAAAATATGGGCCGACTCATGAGCGGGTCCGCGATCTGCGGTTCCTTATACATCCATAGTTTTTTCGTTGGCAATATTTTAATTTACCTTTTGTAGAAATTTGATTAAACAAATGTTAAGAATAATTAAACATAAATGTTTTATGCTTTGGTCCATAAAAAGATATGTTATAAATTACTTTTGATTCTCTACGCATTATATAAAACTCCATATCCTTATTTCTGCATTAAACCCTAAATTATTCGAACCTAATTAAATCGTTTTAGGCCGATTTAAATTGATTAACAGTCCAAAACACATAATTATTAACGCATGTGTTCATGATAGGAACCGGTCCACCGCAAGATTAATGGCTCCGTGGTGTTACTGTATTTTTCAACTTTAAGATTTGGCACGTGGATATATATATATATATATGTATATATCCACATATTTTCGAAGTTTGATTTTCGAAATATCAATAATAATTGTGGTTCGTGGACCATATTGCGTCCACTTGCATTATCCATATAATTGTTACCCAATATGTACGCAATTACCAATATATGAATATTCAAATGAGACAAATCCAATAGCACGTGATTTAATCTGTCGACATCCAAATTCGATCGCCATTGATTTCGTCTGACTCAAATGATGTATATATAGGCATTTTTTAAAAAAATATATTAATGAATATAATGGGTCAAAACCCGTCCCTATACATATTTTCTTATACTACGATTTGGATAGGAAGATTATCATAAGATTTGAAATTGAAGGAATTTCACGTTCATGAGATTAGATTTTGTGATGAAATTGGTGATTATTTTATTAAAAAAATATCTATATATATATGTTTGAATATACTCAAATGGTACAAATGTTTTTACAGATTAAGAGTTTTTTTGTTGTTGTTGTTTCCCATTTTTTTAATCGTACTAGTATAGGAATTTACTTATAAATTACAAATATTTAATTGAATATTAGATATGAAGCCTCGCCTTGTTTACAATTTGGTCTGCATGTATGTGTATATTGTTATAAATAAAATATATTTACGGTGGAGTCCACCGACCGTATACGTGAAAAATAATTTCGGGATTTCTATAAATAGGTCATTTGAGTTTCTCCATTTGTACACTTTCAAGAGAGAGATTAATAAGAAATAAACTTATTCTCTATTCTCCTAAATATAGTTTTCGGTTTATAGTTAACGATCTAATATCCAGATCGTTAATATTTCTTCCGATTTCATAATATATATATATATTGGTTAAAGTATGTGTATGTATTATATATATATATATATATATTAATATATATATATATATATTGTTAGTAATATTATTATAATTTTTTAATACTTTTAAAATAGTTTTATTATTTATTATTATTAAATATTATATGCGGTTCATGATGTGATATATGATTAGGATAAAATTATTAACCCGTGAGATTTTGATATAGTCAATTTTGTATTTAGGGGTATATTTATTAGTTTTTTAAAATTATAATTATTTTATTATTATATATCATAAATACATAATTTTAATAGAATAAAAAATAAAATAAGATTTAAATTGACGACGAGGAAAAATGTGGGAATTTTTTTTAAAAGTTCTACGACCAATTATGGGCCTATCCACGACTTCGCCCATCACGGTCCAAACCCGCATTATAGGTAGGATAGTTTCCTTTTCTGTTTTGGGAAAGTAGGAATAATATTAAATGAATATGAAATATAATCGATTTTATATTCTAATATATACTGTTTAGTGAGATTTGATATCAATTCCGATAAATTCAACTTTATTTAAAAAATGAATTATTGACATTTTTGGCGAGAGGATATTTTTCTTTAAATAAGTTTTTTTGATGATTATTATTAAACTACGAATAATCAAACTTCTTATTGATTTATATTTAGGAGTGTCATTCTGGTTGGTCCGGCCCAAATCTGCACTCGGCCCAAGGATTTCGAGTTCAAGCTCTGACCGGCCCATTTTTTTTCGGGTTTATATCACCAAACCCAAAGCCTGGTCCTATAGATCTTGAGTTCGGATCACAGCGGGTTGAGACGGACCAATCCACACAATTTTCTTTGTAAATATATTTTTTTTCTTAAGATTTTTTTTTAAAAAAAAAACTATCGGGTTTTTCGGACCAGTCCGAATCGAGTCCGACCCGAAAACCCCAAAATTTTCGGACCTAAATATCTCAGCCCGAAACCCGTTATTTTTCGGAGTGGATTTTGAACCTCGGACCAAAATTGACACCCATTTTCATATTCGACCAATACACATATTTAAATATATATAAAAATAGAAACAAATCCTAAAAGATAGCAACAAAAATAGAGATAAAACCGTATATTAGTATATTAGATTCTGATCAGTGCATAAACAAACCAATCTGAATCTCGGATACTAACAATTACGCCAAATTTTCTATCATGATCATATTAAATGTCCAAGCTTTTATAGCATCAAATATTCAATATATAATTCCTCAACTGGAAGATTTATGTGCTTGTCAATCTTTTTGTGTTGAATTTGGACACTTGCCATAAATCAATAATTAATTGAATATTAAAAGTTTTTTTTACCCTAAAAGCCAAAAAAAAAAGAAAATAAAAAATCCCTATATAAAAGGACAGCAAATGAAAATAAAAAATAAATGAAAAATAAATCAAAATGAAGATATTTACTTTCGTTCTCATTTTCATCTCCATCTTTGTTTCAAGTTCATCCGCTAATAATACAGATTCCACCTACGAGATTCTTCTCGCGTGTTTCACCAAATACACGGGACAATCGGCGGGAAGCCTCTCCGACGTCGTTTTGCCACGTGGCAGCTCCTCCTTCGCCCCAGCTCTGAACGCTTACATCAGAAACGCCCGCTTCAATACCTCTACGTCACTAAAACCGACGGTTCTGATCCTGCCACGTGTTTACCCCCACGTCCAGGCCGCCGTCGTCTGCGCCAGAACCCTAAATCTCCGGCTGAAGATCCGAAGCGGCGGTCACGACTACGACGGCCTCTCCTACACCTCCGCCGCGCCTTTCGTCGTCCTCGATCTCTCTAACCTCCGGAATATCACCGTAGACGCGGCGGAGGACGGTGGATCGGCCTGGGTGGAGGCCGGAGCCACGATCGGAGAGCTATACTACCAGATCTGGAAGAAGAGCGAGATCCATGGCTTCCCCGCCGGAGTCTGTCCCACCGTCGGCATCGGAGGTCATATCTCCGGCGGAGGATACGGGAACATGATCCGGAGATTCGGATTGACGGTCGATTACGTCGTCGACGCCAGAATCGTCTCCGTAGACGGACGGATCCTCGACCGGAAAGCGATGGGAGAGGATCTCTTCTGGGCGATCCGCGGCGGCGGTGGCGGAAGCTTCGCCGTCGTCCTGGCGTTCAAAATAAAGCTCGTGACGGTGCCGAGGACCGTAACCGTCTTCAGGGTCGTAGCGTCCAATGACGAAAATGCCCTCAACATGGCCTATAAATGGCAATTCGTGGCGCCAAGGACTGACACGCGTCTCTTTATGAGGCTACTGTTAGCGTCGGTGACGGAGAATAAGACACAGACGGTGCAAGTTAGCGTAAGAGGATTGTTCTTGGGAAATGCAAACGACGTCGTTTCGTTGCTCACAAAGGAATTCCCCGAACTCGGTTTAAAGCACGAGAATTGTACGGAGATGACGTGGATCCAATCGGTTTTATGGTGGGATAACCACAAAGACGTGAAAACCGCTAAACCGGAAATTCTTCTCGATAGAGAACCCGGTTCAGCGAAATATCTCAAGAGAAAATCGGATTACATGGAAACCGAGATGACAAAAACCGAATTATACCGGTTATTCCAGAAATTGAAGACGGTAGAAAGAACCGGTTTGGTTTTGAATCCGTACGGAGGGAAAATGAACGAGACATCAACGACGGAAACTCCATTCCCGCACAGGCAAAAGCTATACAAGATTCAGCATTCTACGACATGGAACGAGCCAGGGACCGAACCCGAACGTCGGTTCTTGAGATATTGCCGATCGGTTCACGAGTATATGACGCCGTTCGTGTCGAAAAACCCGAGGAGCGCGTATTTTAACTATAGGGATATCGATATCGGGGTTAATAATCACGGGAATGATAGTTATCGGGAGGGAGAAATTTACGGGAAAATGTATTTCGGAGAGAATTTCGACCGGTTGGTACGAGTGAAAACCGAAGTGGATCCGGGGAATTTCTTCAGAAACGAGCAGAGTATACCGACTTTGCCTCGGTAGATATATTTTGAATTTGGTTATACATATACATATAGAAACCCAAACTCTCTTGATGCATGTTTCTAAAATTATATATATATATATATATACACATATATATATATATATATCATACAATAAACTTAATTTTCAGGCCTTTTATTTGTGGGCTCTGACTCTATTGGGTTTTTTCATGTTATTAAATACGGGCGGCCATTTTGGTACGGTTTTTCGAAATCCATTCGTACCGAAAAACTCGTCATTTTCGAATCGAATCATCTAAAAATATCGAACGGTAATATTTTACGTTAATTATTTTTTTTATAATCGAATTGAACCGAACCAAATTTTAAAAAAAAATTGTAAGAAAATATATATATTTCTTAATAATACTCGTATTGAACCGAATCAAATATAAGATAATAACTGTTTAGTATATATTTTTATAGAACCGAATGACGAGAACTGAATATCAAAACCTACACCCTTAGTTAAAAATATTATTATCCCTGAAAAATATATGTCTAAGAAAGTGGTCCGTATGTATATGTGTGTGTATATATATAATACATATTTATAGAATCATCATTTGGAAATTGTACTAAATTGAACCAGCATTCCATCTTGCAAGTATATTTTTAAAAAACATGAAAAAAAAGAAGCATTTTCACAGCTTGAAATAATGTTTTTGATGTTTGAAACATATAATATAAACAAAAATAAATATATTTATTTAATGAATATTGACATAAGTTTTCAAAATAATATATATATAAGCTATGGAAATTAAGAGGGTAAGTCAACCAGACATAACAGCCGTTGGGAAGACACTGCTTTACAAAATAGTAATTGATGCCTTTAAGATTCTCTTTCTTTATGAATATATTTCAAGTCAAGCTTAATATTTTTATATAAATATATACACATATTAGATATATATATATATACATATATCATAAAATATTTCAGTTGTTTAAAAAATCAAAATACATACAATCTTCGGATTAGTCTAAGTTTGACTTGTTGGGATGTTTTCTTCGAGAAATTAGGTACACTATTCCGTATGGATGGTCCATTCGGGTTTCGGTTCGGGTTTGGTTCGGTTATATTCGGGTTCGGTTATTTCGGTTATAGAAAAACTATAACCATTCGGTTTTTATATAAATTCCGGTTCGGTTCGGATTTGATTCGGTTTTGGTAAAAAGTTCAATTTTCCAAAGAAAATGTCGGTTATTCTCTCGGTTTTTCTGGTTATTTTTTATTCGGTTCGATTCGGTTCGGTTTCGATTTCAGTTTTTCGGATTTAAGGAAATCATAACCGTTCGGTTTTGATGTCGGGTTCGGTTCGGATACGGTTATGTCTTATTCGGTTCGATTCGACTCGATTATACGGTTAAGATATATTTTTTTTATAGAAAATGTCGGAAATTTTTTCTAGAGATTTAAAGTACAAACGTATTATTAGATAGATTTTTAAAAAATAAAAAAATAAAAATTTCAATGTCATTATTTGAATAAGAGAGAAAATGTTGACTAAGCCATATATATGGATATGGATTTTCAAAACTTATAAAAAGGAAAACATAAAGGGGAATGAAAGTACATTTAACTCTCCTTAATGTAATGATTAAGTTCTTAACACAATAGTTCATTACAATTAAGAAAGAGCATCCATATGTACAGTAATGTTTATGTAATGTGTAGTAATTTTTATTACAAAAAATTAAAATCATAAATATTTTTGTTACTATCTCTTTTTCTAATGAGATATCCTTTCACATACATGCATGTACAAATATAGAATAAACAAGGGAGCCTTATTTAGGTGGAATAAAAATCTATAATTTTTATCTGACTTTTAATCAAAATAATCTTTTAATTTGTGAATACCAAAATTGGCATAATAATAATAATAATACCAATATGACGTATGTTTAAATATGTATATCCATAATAATAACAATAGGTATATATTTCATTTTTTATAGCAGAAAATTGTTATAAATCTAATAAAATTCTGTCACCATTTGCATGTAAAAACTGATAATATTTTTTTAAAGTTGATGATGAAACTTTAGTGTTGAATATTGTGACATGACCAAAGGGAAAATAATTCGGTTCACATATATATATATATATATATATATATATATATATATA